ACACACTTGCAAGAATCCAGGGTGAGAGACAGGGAGGTGTGGATACCAATAATTTTTACAATGATTGTTTTAGTAGCAGCAGGGTTCTTGGATGTTTCCCTGCTTTTTGTCAAAACTGTGTATATCTGATATATCACTTTATATATTAAAACAAGTAAAACTGTTGCTACTTACTATAAAGTAGGTAAAAAAGAATATCTCTCCAGATACCTCCCTATCCATCTGTCAGAGTGTTTTGCGTATGCCCCATCTTACCCCTCCTTCCTCTCTTCCTTCCTCCCATTATCCTGTAGTAATCCAAATCTCTCCTCCCTCAAACCTCTCATATACCTCCCACTTTCACTCTCCAAGTACTTCTTTTCTCGTCTCTTCCCCTCCTCTCCCAAATCTTCAGAGAGGTATCTCCGCTCTGTAGATTATAGTGTCATCCTGAACACACACTCTGATGGGGCTCCTGGCAGCACTGGTCACCCTGCTCTGCATCTACACCCGAGGTACGTCTTCAAGTTCATTTTCATACCTCTATGCTGGGTAAGTGAAGCAGTGTTTTCAGACAACCGCAGATATTTATTGTGAAACTGTCTACAGTGTGTGGAGTTGAGGGATGCAGTGGTTTTAGACACTTGGAGAATGGGCAGACGTTTTTCCGTTATGGAGGACTGCTGGTGATCTTCCGCTGTCATCGTGGCTACAAGCTCCATGGATACAAAACCAACAGCTGTGTGTCTGGACAATGGTCCCGGGACACCCCAGTCTGTGTTGGTGAGGAGCTTCATTCACAAACATATACTGTAAACCTCTTTATTTTAGGATTTTAAATTCGGTTTTTGTCACTAGATGCCTTTAGAGGATGATGGTAACTAATTTGTCTTAACTTTTGTTCAGATATTTATTTCTGCTTCTATTACAGTGCACAGTGCAGAACTGATAGGAAGGTGAAGGGAGGCAACAACAAATGCAGCAAAGGTCCTTTGTCAGACTCAGACTTTTAATCACTTTCCATGATATCTGCCCTTTTTTCAGGCTCTGGCTGCTCCGACCCAGGGCCACTCACCCATGGGACAAGCAGCATTAATAAGGATGGCTCCTGGGCAGTATTCAGCTGTAATAGTGGCTTTAAGCTACACGGGCCCTCAATGTTGTACTGTAAGGGTCACGCCTGGAACAGCACAAAGCCTGTATGCAAAGGTGAGCATGCAGAACTCTCTGCTATCAAAGTGATTGTTCAAAATTAGAATTTTTTCTTTCTCGCAGAGTTAGATGAGAAGATGAATACACTGTCAAAAGGTTTTTGTCGAACAATTTCTTTAAATTTGATCCTGTAATAGCAATTGTCTTTATTTGATATTGCCATGTTTGAAAGTTGCTGTACAAATAGTCTTTTCACCATTTTATCTTTGTTCCTCTTTACTTCTTCGTAGAGGCTGACATGATGATGAGTTTGGTTTCCCGTGTCAATGTGCCAAAGCCAAGCGTACGCCAGAACCTCCAATCTGCCGTGGTTCTGAAGAGCCAGCAACAATCCCACTATGACATACTCGCTAATACCGCCTCCAAAGCAGAAAACCTCAAATTTGGGTTGTTGTCTCATACCCCATCCCAAATGTTCAGCAGTGAGAGGATCAAAGTGACTAACCCTAAAGTCCACCTGCAGCATCAGTTTTCCAGTTTTAAACTCAAAGACGGAGGCCAAACAACTCATCATGAGGCTCAACCTCAGGAGGCAAATGAAGCTGAAGGTTCAGAAATAGGAACTGGGTGGGATGGATCAGAGGTGAAAGCTTCACGCGTGGATCTCTCTACTTCTGTCTCATCTACCTTATCATTAGTGTCAGGAACAGAGCAATCAACATCTTCACCGCCGTCTTTTCCAACAGCCAATACCACAGCTAGCAGTGCTGCTACGAATACTGCTGTCAAGCTTACTGTGATGCTTGCACCAACTTCACCACTTCACACGAAATCTGCTCTGCCTGAGCCTGACAGTGAAAAGGCACTCACGTTTGGAGAACCTCTCACACCCCAGGATAATGCCACACCCTCTGAAGTTGTAACAAGCTCCTCAGAAACTAAAGATGAAGACCAACAGGCTGAAACTGGCTTCCAGCATTCTTCTTTGGCTCAGCCTGTGTCTGTAGATGAAGAGGAGCCCACAGAGACGTCAACACACACTGCTTCCTCTGCACTCTCCTTATCAACTTCCTTTCCCTCCATCTCTGCATCAATTTCCTCAAGTTCCAGCTCCACCCAGTCCAAAATGAAAACACAGCTGTCTAATGTGACCCTTCCTTCAAACACCTCCACCACCACTGAACCCAGATCTCACTGGACTGAATACCCCAACCTCACGATGAACACCACTTCCAAACCACCTCTGCTGTCTCTGAGCCTCATCAGACGACCTGTGTGCCCTTACCCACCGGTGCCGGCTCATGGGACATTCTACTTTCGTAATGTAGAGAATCCAGGTCCCAGAGAGTACAAGCATTTTATACAGTATGCCTGCTACCCAGGTTATACGCTGGCTCATGGAGATGTACACAGCTATTGCCAACAGGGGGGGACCTGGAGTGGGATCACACCTGTTTGTCTTGGTAGGTCATGTTGCTGTTTCATAATTTAAAAGATTCTTAGATTCATGCTAAAGTCATTCTCACTGATAAGGGGAAGGAAAGACATGCTGATATGTAAAGAAAATGGGAGGCAAGATTGATTTGCCAATATACTCCCCAGTACTAGTCTTTTATTGTTTTATTGATGAACGATAAAATCCTACAGACGCACTGGGGCAAATCATCAGTGATGGAAGCTTGAAATAGATAATGTTTGGCATTAATGCTTAAGAATAGTCCAGTTGAGTCACATTCAGTGTCAGTCTGCCCTTTCTGTCAAGCAGCTTCAACTCATTTGTCTGTTTTAAAGATTAATTACATGAGTTCTTCTGCTATACAGATAATCACTTCTTGATGAGGTACAGCCTCTTCTGTTGTTAGAGATTCAAACTGTATCATCTCTAGTCCGAAACGTCTCTCTGATTAGGTTCCACCGTCTAAAAAATGCCCTCAAAGTCAGCTCATATAAATGTTTAGATTAATTTCTCTCATTGTAACTGTCATGACCATTGAACTTGTAATTACTGCTGAAGTCATCAGTCCTTACTGTTTGTCTCCAGAGTTGACACCATGTTCAGTTAACAACGGAGGCTGTTCCCAGCTGTGCTCTCACTCCCAGCACTACAACCAGAGCTCCAACCAGACCCAGAGCAGAACTCAGTGCAACTGCAGACCTGGATTCACTCTGCTAGATGACGGGCGAACGTGCCGAGGTGAGCATATTAATGTTTTTTATTTCTTTCCCCAGAGCTTTCACTGCGACTGTTACATTCTTCGTGAATCCTCTGTGGACGCCCCAGGCTCTTCCTAATAACAACACAGAGCGCACTGAGGCATGTTACAGCACAACAGGGAATCTCCTTCACATGTTTTATGTGTTTGATGTTTCATGGCTCACAGACAAGCATAAGTGAGCTGTGAAATTTATGGCAGCACAATGACCTTGTAGCACTTAGAAGGCTGACATTGACTTTATATATTGTCTCAAGTTACTCGTGCCTGCTCACAGACAACCCGTCATTTGTGAGGGCCATCAGTGGATGGTGTTTATACTATTTTCGAACAGTGTTATTATCAGTGTGCACTTTGACAGATAGTCACAATCACAGTGACTGATTATAGTTTAGTTTTAGTCTGAAAATTCCACTGCAATGAAATAAGGCTTGTAAACATTCCTGTCTGACAGACAGTTCAGTAACAAAAAAATAATAATTTATTTTACTCATTTTCAAAAGATGTCATTCTTTTTGGATCAGACTTTGTCCAGATGGTTTTCTTTATGTAGAGATGTGTCACAAAATGGAAATACCATTAACACAGGTTGGGGAGATGGTGCTTTCCTAGATGGCAGGGAAAACAAGGGCAGAGCTGATACACAAGCTTGGTGAGTCTTTTCTGCACATCCTTGTTTCCTGTCTCTGAAGAACAGGAAGTCAGAAAACATCTGCGTTATGGTTTGCTCATTACAGGCCAAAACAGCAAGCAAAACATGGAGACACATCAATGAGGTTTCAGATTTCAACTTGATTCAGAGCGGCAGGGGAGGCGACCACCTTTCATCTGCTGCTCTGTTCTTTCATCTCAGTGCAAGCTGGACTGTGTGTTTCTGTCAGATCAACTGTACACAAGAAGAGTGTGTTTTATTAAGTCTGTGTCTGTTCCAACCAGTGCAAGATATATGTTTATGTCATGTTATTTATCTGTAATAATTATTGTTTGCATGTGTGTAGATTTAGATGAGTGTGTGGAGGGGCAGCATCAGTGTCAACAGAGATGTGTCAACACATTTGGTTCCTTTAAGTGCAACTGTGATGAAGGCTATCAACCAGCTCATGACCAGACCTCCTGCATAGGTGTGTGTGTGTGTGTGTGTGTGTGTGTGTGTGTGTGGCTGTGTGTCATTATACATTT